CGGGAGGTGGCACTCCTGCCTCGGGGCAGGCAGCTGGAAAACACCCGCCCAGGCTGTGCCAACACCGCACTTCAGGCAGCGCCGAACACAGTTTTACCCGTTTCTGGGGACTTTCCGAACACCCTCCCCAGGGTCGGTGGGTAATTCCAGCCGGCGGCCCCAGGACTGCCCCCGGGTTTCAAAGTCGCAAGGGATTTTTCTGTATTTCCGCAGTATCTGCCTTTGGCTGGTGAGGAGCTGTGGAAAATTCCTGAAACTTTTGGGACCTCACTGCGAACGGGACAGCTCAGCCACTTCTGGGGCTGCGGCCCGATGGACTCTGAGGACAAGGTGACTTGAGCGAAACCGAGGACGAGACTAAGGCAGCCATGAGGCCGGACAGGCAGAAAGCTGCAGAAATAGCTGCTCCAGCCCAAACCCGTACGAATCAAAGCTGGTTTCAAACTGGTGAAGTTTTCCAGCTGTTCACCGCTCCCCGTGCCCACCCTCACGCCCCACGTGCACGCACACACCGCTGCACAGACCCTCCTCTCCCCCCGGGGCCGCCCGGTGCGGCCACAGCCGTAAGAGCCGGGCAGCAGCCGCAGCGCCCTTCTTCAGCTGCCCGGGCATCGCGGCGGGGAGGGGAGGCATTCCCAGACTCTGCCACGTATGTCCCTGCAAACCTGCGTCCCGCGGCCTCTCCTTCCTGGTGCCAATTTCCAACCGGGCTGCCTCCTGCCCGGCCCCCTGAGGTATGGCTCAGCAGCTATCGGGGTAAGTACCTCCTCCACTAGCTCGCCGCTGGGTGCGAACATTTCGCTGCCGAAATGACGAGAGCAAAGCACACGGAGGTGCTGCCCTCGAGGAGCTCGCCGCTGGGTCCCACCCAGCACTGCCCGACTGCCGCATCCCAGGGCAAAGGGATGCTCTCCACGACCGCGGCATCAAACCTCCTCTGCGGAGACGGGTACGTGCAAGCCAGACACCGGGGGTCAAGTGTGCTCAGCCAGAGGCCCGAGAAATGGAAATCCAGCTGCCCTGGGCTGCTCCTCTAGCGGGGAACCCCAGGAGGACATCGCCATCACCACCACCGGTGGGCACAGGCTCTGCTCCGCTCCCCGGTCGTGCCGTCTCCTGTGCCAAGGAGCCTCAGCCCCTTCCAGAGGCAACCGCACCACCGCTGAATGGGTGCAGGGAAACGATGGCACAAGACGAATGCGAACACACTTCAGCCTCCTCACTCGGGGTTACAGCTGCTCAGGCGCAGGCATGGCTCCACCACCTTCTGTCCCCAACGTGTGAGCTCAGCGGGGACCACCGGAGCCCTCGGTCCCGGCACGGGAGGTGCAGGAGGCTCCCGACACCCACCTGAGCTCCAAGAGCCAAGCTGCACCGGGACTCTTCCCAAGCCACGGGATAAGACGTCAACTTCCTAAAAATAGCATTGCTGAGAGCACGGGTCACTTCAAACCACGGCAGGTGACACCACCACGGCAGGTGACACCCTGGATTGGGTCATGCCGCCGGGGTACGTGGCCATGCCCTGGAGTCGCTCACACCCTGGTTTGATTGCACTCAATGCTCCTCGGCCGATTTATCCCGCAGAAGTCACCATAAAGCCGCCACGTGTTCACAAAGCACCAGCACCTCCGCAACCGCTGCCTCGTTCCAAGCTAGATCCTCTGGAAAGGACAAACATCCTCCGTGAGAGACGGGTGTAGGTTGGCCGGTAATTAGAAAAAGGGTCCTCCAGAAGCAGCCCAACTGTGACCCATGGCAGTTCCGTGGTGCTCTGCAACACTGAAGGTGCCACAGTTAAAGGAAGACAAAGCTGTGGGCCCCCACGCAGCACTGAAGACCTCCGTGGATCTGCATGTGCGAGAGGTGAGCTCGTCACCCGTGCCTCGCTCGACCTCAGACCCGCGCTGGGAGGATGCTCACCCCACACTCGCTTCCCCCACGGCGTGGGCAGACCCAGCGCTCCCGGTGCTCTGCCCTGGGGTGCGGTACGACCCACCCGTGCAGTGCAGGGTGACGGCACACGCTGCCGGCGCTCCACGGGCCGCTGGGGCGTGCGGGGGCTGCTCCGCACGCCCCTACCCAGCCCATCGCAGCGCTGCTGCGTGTCCACCGAGAACAGGGGCGAGCTGCAGACCGCCAGAGGAGGAGAAAGTCTCGAATCTCACGTGAGGGGGGTGTCGATGGAGGCGACTGGCCTGAAGGACGTACTGCAGCCCCTCTCCACACCGGAGCGGGTGGACGCTCCGGCCGAGCTGCACCTAAGCCTCCCCGGGGCAACAGCCCTTCGTTTGTTTAGAGAAATCCCACAGGAAAGCAGAGCTGCGTGCCGGGCTCTGCAGACACTGCCGAGAGCAGCTTTAGCAACACCACCAACCTCTCGTGACAACGTGTGCGTGTGTCTCTCCGGCAAGACTTGTTTTCCACAGCGTTGCACGGATCAGTGCTGCTTTGCCACCTTTTCTTCTCCCACCAGTTACATCCCAGGCCTTGCCCAAGTTTGTAAGCATCAGTTTTGCAAGGGTTTAGTCTATGATCATAGAATCACAGAATGGTTTGGGTGGGACAGAACAGTTTGGGCTGAAGGGACCGGTAAAGGCCATTGAGTCCCCCCTCTGCCCTGGGCAGGGCCACCTCCCCCCAGCCCAGGTTGCTCCGAGCCCCGTC